ACTGTATTGTACAACATGCATTTAGCAGAACAGTAAGATATCCATAAAATAAAATTCATGTAGGTATGTTAGAGAGCAAGATATTATTTTAGAAAGCAATTATTTTAGATAGCAAGATATTATTTTCCTCCCATTAGATTGTGGGAGATATTTTATTCAAGATATTGTAGAACAGGAATTATTTCCTATGCTGTGGGAAAATAAAAATAATCTGTGAAAGATGAAGGGAAATGTTTAATTTTGTTAACAGAGAATAGGTGGGAGTGGGCACTTCTGACCCCTTTCAAAAAGAAGAGGTAGCAATTCTGAAGTGAGTGATGAATCTTGTTTGGGAGACCTGCAGGCCCACCTGATTTTGTTGGGGGCAGAGCGAGTTTACCAGTAAGCTTTCCACTGAGCTACTGGGGGCAGGGGACAGAAAGCCAGAAGTCTTGAGTACATAGGTGGCATCTTGAAGGAAGTATGCTCTTGGTTACAGGTAAATCCAGTGACCAGCTACATGAAGCTCAGCAGCAACAAAAACATGACTAAACTTGATCAGATTACTCCTAGTGACTTTCATTGTTAGGTGATAAATAAATCTTAATGAAACTTTCTTCTACATATTTTGTGTCTCCAAAATTTACACTTATCCAACAAAAAGACAATCAAACATCATAATCTGGCCATTTGGCCTTTGGTCAGGAGAACAACTTACTTTTCCATGGTTTTCTACTGTCTCTTTGAATTCTGGCAGACTGCAGGTTTCCTGTTGAACTTTCATTTGACTGACAGTATTTCCTTTCTCATATTTTTGAAATTTGGTCTCACCTCTCTCTTCCTAGATATCCTTACTTCTCTGATTTTCATATCTTTAGATCCTACATTTTCTGCACTTCCTATTTCCATTTTCCTCTCATCTTGAGCACAACAGTACAAGATATTATGTACTGATTTTCATTTTTTAAGAATTACTAAAGCTATTTCAAACTCTCACACTGACTTTCTGACCACCATGAAAAAATAAGCATGATCCTTAACACTGATACAATTTATGCCACTCAGCAAAGGAACTTCATAATTTAAGAGCAGCTATACTCAGGGCAGTTGAACATTTGGGATTATTTTGGAATATGGGAGAGAGGTTCTGGAAAGCTGGGATTAATAACCATAAAGAAAGTGACCACTCTCCTTACATACACAGCTTAGCCACACCTTCTCCATGATTTGCACATACTGAATTATCTGTTCTTCACTGCAACTGTGAAAGTTAGATTACCTCATTATTTGTGTTTCGCAAGTGACTTGAAATGGACTTTTAAAATATAAGCCCATTAGTGGGCAGCGAGGTGAGATTCGAGTCTCAGCGGCATGGCCTCAGTTTATGCTCAATTATGAGGTTTCTGACTCTGGTTTGAAATGTTTGCATCTCAGAGAACCTGGCTGGGAATCTGACTTTAATTTCTTCATCTCTTTACACAACATCAAAATCTTTACTGATGAATTTATCCCATTGAAATGTATCCACTCTATAGAGGGTTCCCCTGCTTTAATAATAATCACATGTTGTAGTCAGGGTTTTCAAGGAAATAGATTTAATACAGGGCACATAATTTATAGGACCATTTTATAATATTCACCCAAAAAGTCAAATGCAGAAGAGGGTGGTAGATCTGTCCACACACCAGAGACCCAAAGAATCCAGCTGAGGGCCTGGATCCCACAGCAATGTCCTGCACAAGTCCAGCTGAAGACCTGGAGCCTGTGGCAATGTTCTCCACAAGTCCAGCTGGAGGCCTAGCGCTCACAACAATGTCTCGTGCAAGTATGTAGCAAGCATCTGCCCTGGGAAGGCCCAGAGGTCAGTGGTGGAAGTCAGAAAGTCTGTGCCAGTGGGTTGAAGGATCTGTGCCAGCAGGCTGGGGGATCTGCACTGGAGCCAGGAAGGACGCTCAAGGTAAGGACCAGAGCTCCCCCGAAGAGAACCACAGCCATCCTCAGAGACAGCGAGGTCCTGAGCTCCTCCGATGGTAACAGCTGAGTTCGTATCAGGCAAACGAGCAGGACAAACTTCTCCAGGAGAATCAACAGCACACCATCTTCCCCTCTGCTTTTTTTTTTATGCTGTTGGTAACAATTTTCAGGTGGGCCCTTCACCCCCAGCACCAGCTGATTTAGTTCAGCTGGGCGTTACAAGTTGACTATTAGTTAATCCACCACTCATGGCATCTTATATAACTAATTGATGTTATCCACATTTATTTAAAAGCATATAATTTGGTAAGAATAGGGAAGCATTTTTCCAATCCACCACAGTCATTCTTGATAATTTTATTTCAATATTTGAAGCAAGAATCCTATGGCTTGTATCTAGGTTTCCCCTGCAAAGCCTTATTCAGTCATGGGGCTTTTTCAGAGATGGCTGCATCCATGGTGTGTGAGGACGGGATCAAGGGCGTGTGATTACTAAATTGGTCTACTGATTGGTTAGGCATAACTCCAGGTAGGTTTAAGGGTTCCCTACTCTGGGTGTGAGTGTTACCTGTCCTACAGGTAGCCTGGGTAAAATATAAGCGACAGAAAGAGAGTTAGTGTCATCGCTTGTTGCTTGCTGACTTCCTGTTGCCTTCTGCCTGCCTTGCTTTTCCAGGGACTGTTTCTCCTCTGTATGCCTCTGCACCCCGCCTTAGAACCAGCCGACTATGGACTGAACCCTCTACACACTGTGAGCCAAGTACACCTTTCCTCCTTTAACTCTGGGAATTGGGTGCTTTGTCTCAGAGATGAGAAAAGTAAACAAGAAAAAGAGAAGTATGAATTTAGGAAGTAGTTGAAATAAATACAATTATTTTAAATATAGCCTACTATATATTTAGTAGAAATAAATATAATTTTTAAAATATTTTGAAGCAATGGAGTAATTAAAATGGCAAAATTGACAACCTGGACTACAGAAAAGGGAAAAAAGCCACAGGAAAAGAGAAATTATAAAACAGAGGGAAGCCACAAATCACAATTTTTATCTAAAAAACATAAATATTATTTTGGTCGATTAATATCCGTCCTAGTAAGATATCAACATTACTACAGATGAACTGATAACAATTACACATGTTCAAAAAGGCAATATTTTCAGAAAAAATAAATGAAAAATGTAAAAATTGGTTGATAGCATTTGTACAAATATCATAAAATATTATTTTGTGTGTAATGAAATTTATAATCAAAAGGCAATTCGTATGATAATGAGATAAATTTTGTAGGTGCCTGAACTTTTCTGAAAAGTTAAGATTGAAATATTGACCCTCGTCATATATAAAAGTGAAATAAAGAGATATAAACATAATTATAAATTTCTGTGGGTGTATAAGAGACTAAGGGCAGTTGTTTCTGGATAATAGAAAAGCAGATTTTAATACATAGGGAAAGATATTACTTTTTCCCCTCACATTTATCTATTCACTTTAAATGTTTCATCATGACCAGGCATTATCCCATAATAATTATATAGTTAAAAATAACAGAGTACACAATGTTGAAAATAATTTTCCTAAATTTCAAAGATAGTGATAAGGTGTTGCATAGTGATGAGAATATTACACTTGGGAAATCATTCTACAATTACTCGTAGAATCATTTAGTAGCACGAAAGTGGGGGGCCCAGATATCTAAATGAATAAATGGTCAAAGCGATATGTTTAATAAAAACTTATATGTTATCAGACCGTTAAACTGGCAATTAGACCACAGCAAATGTAATAACATAAGAACAGTTGTAACAATTCCAACTCAAAATCATGATAAAAAGTGGCCTTATATGAAAACTTCACTCCTATAAATTATATGTACCATGAATAAAGACTTAAAATACAAAAATCTCAAAATTCTGCATTGAAATTATGGATGGCTTTTCAATTACAAATAGTGTTCTAGAAAAGTGTTCTGGGAAATTCAGGGCAAACATCTAAATAAAGACATATGTGATTTTAAAAAACACTACTAATGTTACAGGCATATTAGAGATTTTATACTTTCTCTGACTCACAGGCAGAGAAATTCAATATTCTAAAGCCATTAATTTAAATGTAAAAAGGGTAAAATGCAGTTTCTCCAATTATATCAACTTTGAGGAATTATCCAGTCCTCTGTTGTAACACGACTGTCTGTAAGTTGACATTTTGAACACAAGATGGATAGGAAAAAGATTGTTAGATTAGGTTCATTACAAAGCACACTTCATTCAATATCCTAAAGGTGTCGGGGATCAATGCTCCAAAAAGCATGAACAGAACTAAGATTTTCACCAGGAAGGATTCTTCAACGATATTAGTGTATAACTGTATTAAAATAGTGTTTTGTAGATTTCTGAGCACAGAGATAAAATGCCTAATATATGAAATATATGTGCATATGTGTGGGTATACATTTTGTAAAATTCTTCTGAAAACACGGATAAGGTAGGGCTAGTACTTATACTCTTTATTTTTCTGTATTTGGGATTGAAACTAGAGCTTTTACACTAAGCTGTATCCCCAGCCTTGTAAACATTTGGGGTTTTTTTGAGACAGGGTCTCATTAAGTCAGAACATTACCCAGGCTGTGTTTGAACTTGGGAGTTTTCTGCCTCAGCCTCCTAGAGTGCTGTAAGCACAGACTTGAGCCACCATTGCAAGCATGTAGGCCATTTTTGTATGTATGAAACCTTAGTTTCAAAGGAATGAAGTCACTTGTCCAAAGAAAGAATAAATTTTTCCACTCTTAATGAGTTAAGAATCAAGATATTTGAAGGATACATGTTTTTTACTTCCCTATGCAAAAGCTTTGGTCCAGGCCAGAGGGCTGCTGAGTCAACAGATAAATCATGCAGAGGCTTGGGTAACTGCAGAATTACAAGATTCATAGGGGGATACCGGTTCACTCCCCAAGGTGGTTCAAGATTGTGTAGCTTGGAACAGAAACTAGAAATTCAGTGTTCAGCCCAGGATCTCCTCAAAATGTAATTTCTTTTGTTTTCTCTGCAGATTAAATTGTCAGAGGCGTCCTTCTGTCATCACTGCTATGGTGATGAAGAACAGTGTGACTGAATTCATTCTGTTTGGGCTGACACAAGATGCTGAAACGCAGAAGGTGATATTTGGGATCTTCCTGATCCTTTACCTCATGACACTGTTGGGGAACTTTCTCATCATCGTGACCATTAAAACAAGCCAGACCCTTGGGAGTCCCATGTACTTTTTCCTCCTCTACTTATCCTTTGCTGATGCTTGTTTCTCTACAACCATGGCCCCCAGACTGATTGTGGATGCCCTTTCTCAGAAGAAGACCATTTCCTTCAGCAAGTGCATGACGCAGGTCTTTGCAGCCCACTTGTTTGGGTGCATGGAGATCTTTGCACTCATCCTCATGGCCTGTGATCACTATGCGGTTGTCTGTATGTCTCTGCAGTACACGACCATCATGAGCCAGCGTGTCTGTGGTGTGCTACTGACTCTGGCCTGGGTGGGATCTTGCATCCATTCCTCAGCACAGATTGTCTCGGCTTTGAGACTGCCTTTCTGTGGCCCCAATGTGATTGATCACTATTCCTGTGATTTGCAGCCCTTGCTGAAACTTGCCTGCTCGGACACTTACGTGATAAACTTGTTAGTTGTGTCTAACAGTGGGGCCATCTGCATGGTGAGTTTCCTATTGCTGCTCGTCTCCTATACCGTTATCCTGTACTCGCTGAGAAGCCACAGCTCAGAAGGAAGGCGAAGAGCCCTTTCCACATGCACCTCCCACTTCGCTGTGGTTGTCATATTTTTTGGCCCCTGTATATTTATATACACACGTCCTGCAACCACATTTCCAGTAGACAAGATGGTGGCTGCCTTTTACATGATTGGCACACCCTTGCTCAACCCCCTCATCTACACACAAGGAATGCAGAAGGAAAAAGTGCCAAGAAAAGGTGTAATGTAGTGAAATACGACTTCTGGTGATCCATGCTGTGTGGGAATTCTATGTACACTTCCTTGATGGTGTAGCATTGCATCACATGGACTGGAAAAATACTAGATTTCCTTGGAATACTCAGCATTGTAAAAATCAGTTCTAGTGTTTCACAACTTGAAAGCAGTTTTATTTGAGAATGTTTTACACAATGTTATTCTCAGTCTGAAGGTACTCTCATCTATTTATAAAATGCACAGTCAGCAGTCTCCACGTCACAATATCACAATCCAAGGCTGCCCGGCTCTTTCAGCAGCCCATGATTCCAGTCACATGGACAGCAAGATGTTTCACCTTACTTGACACAGACTAAAGAGAAATACAGAGATGTTCATGAGTACTTTGTGTGTATGTCAGCATCTCCTTCAACAGAACATAAAATATTGGCAATGTTGCACAAAATATTGGCAATCATTTTGATATAGATGAGTAGAGGCAGTGTGAGAATGTCTGTCACAAATAGGGTGCTTGTCAAGGTGTGCAGTCCTGTGTTCACATGTGACAGGATTGATTGCAGCCCCTCAAAGTAAGTGTGCACAGTTTTCCTTATTTCACATCTTAGAATTTGATTTATGTGCATAGGTATGTATATTTTTTCTTGGTTTTTTGAGACTGTATCTCCCTGTGTAATAGGGCAGGCTGGTCTTGAACTCACTGTGTAGCTCAGGCTGCCTTGAACTCAGAGAGATCCTCCTGCCTCAGCCACCTGAGTGCTGGGATTATAGGTGTGTGCCACCATGCCTGGCTCACCATTTGATCTTAAAGCATTTGAATCTAGTGGTGTGAAGCTTAAAGTGTAATCAGTCCCTTATGAGTACACAATAATTTTACAGAATATTGAGCTTCATGTGATGTTTCATACATGAACATAACATGCTGTGATCACGTGCCCCATCGTTATCATCCTTGCACCCCTCCCTGATCCTCTTTATCTCCTCCGTCTGCATTCCACTCTCATGTTGTCTCTTCCCTCGCGGCTACATTCCACATACCAGGGAAAATGTGACCCTTCACGTTCTGAGTCTGGCTTATTTCACATGATGAGGTCCAGCTCCACCCACTTTCCTGGATTTGGTTCTTTATGGATGAATAATACTCCATGTTGTCTGTGTGCCACAATTTTATGAATTCACCCTTGATGGGCACCAGGCTGATTCCATATCTTAAAATTCATGAATTGTGCTGGACACGCAGACGCATGCAGGGACCTCTACAGTATGCTGACACTAATTCCTTTGGGTATACACCAAGCAGCTGTGTCATATGGTCACTCTACTTTTTTCTTGAGAAACCTCCATACTGAATTTCATACATTCCCACCCACAGCACAGAAGGGTTCCTTTCCCCGACTTGACCTTGCCTGCCTTGTTTCTGTATGCTTGATGACAGCAATTCTGTGTGTGTTGAGATGAAATCGTTATCATTTGTTGCTTCTTCAAACTTAATACACTGGGAAAAATTTCTTGCCTATGTCTGAATGAAAACTCACAAAGCTTCCTAAATTTTCTTTGCGGTGTTAGATAACACAGATTCGAAATTTCCCTTGGCTTTAGACAGTGCTAAAACTTGCAATGGCCAATATATGTCATTAACCCTAATGTTATAAGTCCTCACGGTCTACCTGTAACTAAGGCCTGGGAGACTAAGCCAGGGAAGGCAGACAGGAGGGTCGGTGGTCTGGAGTACAAGGGAGGAAGAGTCATTCAGGGGGCAGAAAGCACTTACTAAACTGGGTATCTTAACTGTCTCTGGACCTGGCAGATGTTGAAATATTTACATTTCTCTTCTCTGTTGGCACCTTTTCCTAGCCCTTTCGAAGATGGTTTCCTTGGCCCAGTTACTTGTAGAATCCTTCACACAGAAGAAAAGCATGTCCTCCCTGCGGCCCCAGGTGATGCCTCCTCCCATCAAAACTGTCCTCCTTTCTGAAAGGCCTTGTGGGACTGGTCCCCAGAAGAGCTCACCACGGGCCCCTTGTTGGTCCCGGGGAAAGGTCTGGTTTTATTTCTTAGTGACCAATTCATTTACTGTTTTGAAATTTGCTCAAAATGGTGAGAGCAGACATCAAACAAAATAACTTGTTTTTGTTTTTTTTTTTTTGTTTTTCTTCCGGTACCGGGAATCGAATGCATGACCTTGTGCTTGCCAGGCAGGCGCTGTGCCGCTGAACTATATCCCCAGCCCCAAACAAAATAACTTGATCTAAATCATGTTAGAACTCGTGCTCATGCTGCTATGTAAAAGAAACACTGAACCTCACCCAGGTTGTGGAGGCGGATTTGTTTACGCCAATGGGCACTGACAAGGCATCCGTCCTTATAAAACTGTCAGGCCCTGATCCTTGGTAGTTTGGGGACTATATGGAGTTTGCAAGCAGGAAGTATACAGAAGTGGAGTACTTGGCTGTCTCTGATTGGTTCTTACAGTATGCATCGCAGTGACCAGCCCTTTCTAAGGAGAGAAGTAACCAGACCTGTAACAGGAACTGTTACGTGGGCAACTCACAAACTGAAGTATACTGGCTTGGGTGGGGGCATTTTTTGCTACATTTCATCCAAGTAATTCATCTAGAGAATACTTGTCTCTTAGAAATAATGTGAACAGGTATTGAATATGTATTCTTGGTGTTCTCTATGAGTAATCAATGTATATGTAGGTATTCAAAGTATTTACTATAATTAAATCAGTCAGTAACTGCCATAGTTGGAGAGTAATTTCTCTGCTGTAATTCTATTTGATCACTAAAATATCATTCTCAATCCTCAGTCAAATTGTACAGGTGATTCTTACAGCTTAATTTTTACAGCCATTCAGATGTGAATGGAGGGAGGCCGGAGGCTGAGGAGAAGAAAGGAAAGCAAGAATGACAGAGATGTGATGTGTACATTGTAAATTCCACAAAGTGAGTGTTATTATGATGTGTCATAAACACCTACTAACACAAAAAGACATTAACAGGGAACAAAAGTGGAGAATGTGTAACGATTCTCAAGTTAGCTGAGGCATAACCTAAGATGTTCTTGTCAAACTCAGGGTTCATTCCTGTGAAGTAACCTCTTCAGAGTGTCGAAGAACCAGGTGAGATGATTTCAACCTCATGCTTCTAACCATGGAGACCGATGGCTCGCGAATAAAGGAGAGTGAAGTCATCTCATGTTAAATCGTGGTTAAAACCATAGAACCAGGGTTTATTGTTTTCAAAGAAAAGTTGAAAGCAGATGCCTTCAAAAGAGATGAACCTAATGAACACACAAACTGTCTGCTTTACCAAAGGATTTGCCTTGTCTCTCATAAGCACATCTGCTACGGTAGTAGTCAAGTAGGATTGTTAGCAAATCATTTCAGGTCTCAGTTGAATCCTATTTGGCTGTTGCTGGGTGTCTCTGTCTCTGTCTCTGTCTCTCCCTGTATATAAACTTTAAATCACTATATTGACACAACACACACTCCTCTCCAACACTCCCATCACCTAATGGGGACCTCTTCCTCCTCCTGTCTGTAAAGCACGCAGTTCCGGAAGCAGAGAAGGACAGGCTACTCTCTGTCCCAGTCCCTTCCCCGAGGCCCAGTGGAGTCGCTGCTCAGGCCCTGCTCAGAGCTGCAAGAGAGGGAGACCAGGTCGCTAGCACCATGCTCAGCCCTGCAGGGCCTGCTCCTCCTCCTCCTCTCTGCCCCGTGTAACCTTGGCAAGGACGCTTTGGAGCCTGAGCTTGCAGCCAGGAGAAGTCTCAGTGATTACTGAGAACTTTGGCAGCATTTTTAAAGGCTCAGGTGCCCCACAAAATGTCCTAGGAGGGGCTGTGAACTTCCGGGCGTTTGTTTAAGATGCAGTTGTAACACTGAACAGATTAAACAAGTTTCGCCAAGTGCCGGCATATTAAGCAGTGAGAGGAAGGGCCAGACGACTTTACAGCCGCCTCGTGAGTCGGCTCCTCTCCTCGGGGAGACGAGGCTGCTGCTGTCGGGAGAGGCCTCCTGGGGGAGACGCACCTGGGTGTGGGCCCTGCGCTGTCACTCGCGCTGTTGGTCTTAGAGAAGCTGCTCACCGCATGAGCGCCAGTCTCCTTCGATATCCGTGTCCACCTCTATGTGTAAGGCCCAGTGTGGTCCAGCTGAGGCCAAATAAAGGTCTGTGAAGTCTCCTGTTTACCTTCCTCTTCCTGACCCAGTTGGTGCTGAGTCCCCTGGGTGCCAAGGCTGGCAGTGCCTCTGTGGGGCACGCTGCGGAGTTTACACTTTCTGAAGGCTTAGGAGACTCGGGTGCTTCCTTCTGAACCAGGGCACCAACTAAAACTGCAGACGAACACAGTACTGGGCTGTGAAATGGGCATTAGGAAGTCTAATGAAATAACGCATTTCCCAGTAGATACCCCGGTGACCGCTGTGCTCGCCTCTTACATGACAAAGGCCTAATAAGATATCCACGTGCTCTCTCTGCTTTTTTGTCCTATGCATTAGCTTAGTTTTTCAAATAGATCATCACCTGCACAGGGCCGGGGTGCGCCTGACCTGCTATGTGCCGGGGCTGGAACTGTGGGTAAGAGGTAGAACCAGGCATGATGGGAGCTGAGGAGAGGATCAGTGTAACTATGGTATCAGCAACTGCCACAGAGCAGACACTCCAGTGTTTGTTGAATGAATAACTAATGGCTAGCTTTCAGTGGCTGTGACAAAATACCTAAGAAAATCGACATAAAAAGAGCGCAGGTATATTTTGTCCCGTGATTTCAAGGGTTTCAGTCCGTGGTTGCTTGGATCTGTTGCTTTGAGCCAATAAGCAGACTGTGGTCCTGCAGAGACGGTCTCTGACAGCTTCAGGAAATCACAGGAGACGCCAGCCAGGAGTTTCAAGTGACCTGGGTTAGTGTGGCCCCACTGACACCCGGGACGGAGCAAACTTGACTAAAGCACCACACGATCCATTAACATTTTCTGAGACCAAGACAAACCTGCAGAAACCTCAGTGATCAGACTTGCGCTTGATTCTTGTTCAAAGGCTGATTTGACCGGCAGCAACATTTGACTTGAGCGCCACCTTGTGGACACCTCGCATCACAGCAAATTAACCAAATTCCTGCGGAGGTCCAGAAATCACTGCTAAGGATGGTCATAACGGAGCCAGGACCAGGGAGTATCAATGCTCTTGTAACTGTTTAGGAAATTAGATTGTCCTGAGGGTTTATGTTAACATTTATAGTAACAGCGGTTTACCTTATTCGTACACAGATGTGATCTATTACCCCGTGTGTGTGTGTGTGTGTGTGTGTGTGTGTGTGTGTGGTCTGAGGACTGAACTCGAGGCCCTACATTGAGCTATATCCCGGGTCCTTTTTTAACTTTAATTTTTAGTTTTTGGAGACAAAGACTCGCTAAGTCACTGAGTGTCTCAGCCTGGGCTTGAACTTGTGATCCTGATGCCTCAGCCTCCCAGAGAGCTGAGAGGCTACAGACCTGCACCACCACGTCCAGCCCAATTACCTCTTAAAAAGTGTAACGTCGGCTTTTAGTACTAGTTTCTCCTTCACCTTCGGTTTAAAAGTCTTTGTCTCTTTATTTTTCCCTCCGTGTGAACGGAGCTCCATTGACGAGTTTAGAAATGGTCTATTTGCGCCCTCTTCAAACAGATTTCATAACGTGAACGTGGACGCCCTCCTCCGGGGACCGAAGGGGCGTAGGAACAGTCTTGAGCAGCCTTGGTTCCTGATCGGATACCGAATAATGCATTTGCTCCCAGCTCTTCCTAGAATTAACAGAATTCCTCCGCTGCACTAGTGTACCTGTCACTGCAAAGGCGGTTGCCGTCAGTTTTCCTGAGAAAGATTGTGGGGGCCATTCCGGTTGCAGTGTCGTTTTCTCTTATAGGTTGGCCCTCTAGCTTCTGCTGTTTGGAGCACAGTTTCTGATCTCACAGGACAGCTACGTAAGTGGCTAGAGCTCTGCAAGAGCAGAGCGACCCAGTAGGAGTCATACCGGGCCTGCACGCGCTGTGCCCCACAGGCTGGTCCGACGTGCACCGCATCCCGCGGAGAGGCAGGCGTCTCCTGCATGCTGAGGTGCGCACGCGCCTTTCTGTGATGGATTCTTGGCAACTGTTAGTTCTCCAGTAGCTAAAAACCCTGCGCCAACTTCTGTTGGTGCACAGCTTGCTGGGAAGGTGTCCAGGGAGGGCAGTTTGGTAATGTTCGTGTGGACCAGGAATGGGCTCCTACAGCATCCACAATGCCTGTGGATGAAGAGCTCATTTGTCATCTTGCCAGGGACTGCATTTTTCAAATTGATCCAGTGCGGTGGTTTGTGGCCCCACAGGTTCACGTGCGGGACACTCGGTCCCCAGCGTGCTGGCAGTGAGAGGTGGAAAGTTTCAAGAGAAAGGGTCTTGTGCCTGGTAATCATGTCACAGGGCACCGTCCCGGGAGACAACACCAGTCTCACTGGGTGAGTTAGGTCCCAGGGAAGTGTGTTGTCCTGAGAAGAGCAAACCTGACCCCGTCTTTCTTCCTGTTTTGTCTCCTTCGTGTGCCCTGCCATGTGGAGTTATCTGCCGTGAGGCTCTCAGCAGAGGCCTCCAAAAATATGAGCTAACAGTGTGCCTTATGAAGTGCCTAGAACTAGGTATTTTGTGATAGTGACAGAAAAGGTACTGAGACACCCAGGACCCATCTTCTTAGCTTTACTTTCTCTTTTTCCTGTTGTCTGCCCTGTCCTGCAAATATTTCTCAAACATCTTTATGTTTTACTTTCTTTTTTTTTTTTTTTTTTGAGACAAGGTTTCACTGTGCAGTTCTGTCTGGTCTTGAACTCACTTTGTAGCCCAGGCTGGCTTTTTGTTTTGTTTTGGTACTGGGAATCAAACTCAGGACCTTGTGCTTGCCAGACAGGTGCTTATGCCACTGAGCTATATCCTCAGCCCCCAGGCTGGCTTTAAACTCACAGTAATCCTCCTGCCTCAGCCTCCCAAGTGCTGGGATTACAGGCATGTGCCACCATGCCTGGCTCCAGCATCTTATTGGAAGGATTCATCCAGACCCCTTCCAATTTGGTCATTGTTCTGTGGCATTGTTATAATACAAAATTCAGATATCTTAAGGAATTGTATCTATGCAAACATGTGAGGGTGTGCACCTGCATCTGCGCAGCACACTCATTTTGACAAAACACCTGAGATGGTCAACTGTGCGGAGAGGAAAGGGTGTTTTGGCTCACGGTTTTGGAGGCTTCAGTCCATGACGACTTGGCTGTGTTGCTTTGGGACGGCGGCAGAGTGCATTGTGGGTACCTTGGCTGAAGATGTCAATTGTCATCTCGTGCCAGTTCATGAGGTCTTATGTCCTCAGGGGGAGAGAGACAGAGGAGGGAGAGAGAGACAGACAGAGAGAAAGACAGAATGAGAGAGAGGGGGTGGCATACTCCCAGGGTTCCCCACAGTGGAACATTCCTGGTGACTTAACTCCCTTCTACTAGACCACATCTCCTGGAGATTTCACCTCGTCTGTGTTCCAGCATCGCCAATGGCTCATACCACAGGCCCCTAGCCAGTGGGGTACCCGCCCATTCAGCCTGTCTACACACAGCTATTACAGAACCATCCTAGCCTCACCCAATCACGTTACTAACTAGACTGTAACAAGATCCCCTAGGTCAATAAAGCATAAGTCAAAACAGAGGAAAAAAAAAAAAGAGAAACTTTACTCATTTTATTATTTTATTTTATTTATTTTTTAAAGTTTTATTTTAAAGAGAGTAATAAATGAGAAACAAACAACAACAACAAAAGAACAATAGCAGCACACCAGCATCACAAACTTAAACAAACCAAAGCAAGAACATTCAACATGGTACAGAGTCTCAAGACAAAATAATGCGAATTAACAGTGGTTGTTATATTACATATCACCATCCTCAACTACGTTGCTCAGATTACCAGAGGTAAGAATGGAAGATTGTTCAAACCATCAAAGAGAACAAGAAAATAACTATTAAATAAAACATTAGGGATCATACAGAGTTTCACTAGACAAGATGGCAGGAATTCACCATGGTAGTTCCATTGCATAGTGTTACCTTCAAATCGGTTGCTCAGATTACCAGATACAAGCATGCAGAATTGGTCAGATCATAAAAAATTTTAAACATTAACTGTTCCTTTCAATACACCATCAGACATCAGCAATACAGTTATCGCAGCTATTCATATATATTTATATTTTGCCTTCCTCCTTTCTTTTTTCTTCTTTCCCTCATCCCAGTCGTTCCTTCCTTTGAGCGATTTCTTTCCCTTTCCTCTCATCTATCGCACGTCTTTACTCAGTTTCATTTTGCTTTGTGCATCCTGCTTGGTCCTGAGTGGATTTGCTGTCATTTGCTTCTGTGACTGTCTTGTGTGCATTCACGTGTTGGAACTGAGGTTAATATTCTAGCTGTTCATATTGTAAGGATGTCGGTCTGGTTAATGCTTGCTGTCTGCAAGAAAATATAAGTGAGACAATGAATGAAGAGCTGTCTCTTAAGTTACATCTGGAATGGTCACTTACGTTTGATTTGATTAGATTTTTCTTCCTTCTCTTCTCTTTCTTTCTTTCTTTCTTTCTTTCTTTCTTTCTTTCTTTCTTTCTTTCTTTCTCTCTCTCTCTCTTTCTTTCTCTTTCTCTCTCTTTCTTTCATTCTTTTTTGTACTGCTCTGCCATTCAGCTACATCTTCAGCCCCTTTAAATTTCTTGAGAAAGAGTCTGTTCAAGTTGCCCATGTAGGACTTGGGCTTCAACTTGGGGTTCTTTTACCACAGCCTCCCAAGTGCCAGGATGACAGGTACTTCCCCAGGGGCCGGGATATTCACTCACATATGAGGGTAACTCTCCATGCAGCGATAAGGCCTCTGCTTTCTATGACTGACGGTACCAGCATCATTATTCAGATTAGAAATGATGGTAACCCATGCAGTTGTGTTGCCTTTACAGATATCAGAAAGGACAGCACAGGCATTGAGCTCCTCCGCCTGTCAAAGGCAGCAGTTCAAGCTAATAAATTGGCTGGGTATGAAAGCTGAAGCTGAACTTCAGAATGTTTTTGTTTAAAAACCTCCAACCAATACATTTGAAGAACAGTTGTCCTACACCTTACAAAGGAACTCTCAAGGGGCATGTTTATCAAACCAGAAAATTCCAAGGAACACACAAGTCTCGCGAGACTTTGGTGCCATGATTATGACGTGAGTGAGAGGAAGGGGAACGCCGTCATCTCAGGAAGATGCTCTTGTAGAGGAAGGGTTGGCGTGGACGCACGGACAGAGAGAAAGAAGAGAGGTCTTGGTGGCCGTTCTTGGCTGGGCAACATGCTGGAGAGAAAGCCCAGGCAAAGTTGTGCTCTAATGACCTCAGAGCACCTTCTACTACCCTGAGGGAATTGGCCCCGCTGCTAGGAGCCATTGTCCATAGATCAGTAGTAAGATTCACCTCCGAAGCTGCTTGCCAAGAACATTTTGGCTGCTAGAAGTTTTCACAAGGGATTTACGATCTGAAGAGAAACCAGAGTGTTCACAGGGGATTTTAAAAGCCACAGCGCCTGTTAGGGTGGAAATGGTGTTGTCAACAAGTTTTCAGAATAATTAAAGGCTTGCATCAGCCTTGGGGACCAAGAGAATCTGCTGGGAGGAGAAGCTGACCACAGCCTGCCGCACACCCCCGGGAATGCGTTGTGCCCTCCTCACTTCTGAGGCAGAGACAGGAGCTGGAGCTCACCTGGAGAATGCATCCTTGCTGCCACCTCAGGGTAGCTTATGGCCCCAAGAATTACCTATCTCGTGGAGAGGTACTTGGTGTACGTCTGCAAATCTCTATCTATCATCCGATTCATCATTTTGAAAATACCAAATAGGATGAAGGTAAATCTTTGATTAGACAGACTTTTTGAGCTTGGCCTCTTACAGAATTTTCATAGGCAAAAATATCTGCAAGCAAAAGTTCGTTTAAGACTCAAGGTTCTGGAAGTCCATTTATATTTTTAGTTATGCAACAAGTCAATAAGAGAGTAAAGAAGATTGTCCCAAGTAGGAGATTCTGTTCTCCTTGGTTAGGCTTTCATGCAAGACTATATGTTAGGAAAGAAAGAACTCTGCATTAATACAGTATTTTAAGACCTTTTTCACTGTTATGCCTCTGATAACCTCATCAAGGTGTCTCTAATTAATGGAAGTTCATAGGAGTAGAAGGAATATTTTTGTGAATACATTTCTCATGAATAGAACTATTATCACACTTCAAATCTAACATTCTAGGTCACATATTTTAATACAATCCAATACATAAGAATAAGTATGTCTCAAAGAAGCTCTTTCTTAGGACACCTATTGTAACAGTCAAACAATTTTATTTCAAATATGGCACCAATAAATTGACATTAAAAACACAAACCCAGGGCTTCAGGGATTACAGATTTGTGCATGCAACCAGTTAAAACCAAAACGAAGCAGGACATTCTTCAAATCAATCTTTTTCTTACAGTATGGAAGTTATTAAATTGGTTCACAAATGCACAGCACTCTTTGGAGAGGTATGCATGGGTTTTATGACTTACTCTACTTGTGGAAAGGTGTGATATTATCCTAGAATGCTGAATATTGTCACATCTTCAACCTATCAATTGCATTTCTAGAAGAAATTTTTAAAATGTTGCAAATTCATTCTTCTAGTAGTCAATATTCACCCAGAGAATAATGGGTAAAGACTTTCTGAAGCAGTCACACAATGGTATAAGTTATAACAGTGAAGATGACTATACAGCTACATCTAATGACTCATACAAAACAGTTATTTAATGATGAATGAAAAATTAAACTCCTAAAATTCTATATACAGTATACTAACTCACTCAATATTCAAAACCAGATAATGTTAAAAATACCCATATGTAAAATAGATAACCAGTTTTTAAGAAGTAAGGTAATTACACATTAAAAATTAACATCTTTTAGGTTGAGGAAAGGGATAAGATAGAAAAAAGATGTAATTGTTCATAAAATATTAGTTTTTAGGATTGGCTTTGAGTTTCAAAGTATTATATTGTTTAGGTATAAAAAATATAATAATATACAATAAAAGTGCAGTAGTTTGGAAAAGTTGAATCTACGGTTTACATTTTGTAGTTAGAACTGGTTTTTGTGCCTGCCTGCTGTCTTTGCTTTCTTTTATGTGGTCTCCAATTTTTACCGGATGTCTCAACTTATGGCAATATTATAGGCAGACGCTATGGTCTCTTTTTTCAGAAAATCTATTATGGATGAAAAAAATGACTTTTCTCAATAGCACAGAGAAATATTGAGTTTGCCTCGCATTTGCTATGAGGTTCCTCACCTGATCATTAGTCTTGGGGAAATGTGTTCTGATTGGCTAGGTGGAAATCATGTTCTCCTTCTTGGGACATGACACTCACAAACCATTTATACTAAGTATTCACAAAGTTGTGGTTTCTTAGCTGAAAATCAGGGTTCAGTTACTCAGGGAGAAACTGGATTTGTGTTAGGTGCAAACAGCCAGGGCCCCCGGAGACAGTTCTAACAATTTACCTTTAGCCATGGTTGTGGAAGACTGGGTGTATCAGCAAAGGGTTTGGAGTATGTGGTAAAATACCAGACTGTACTCCCATGCTTTAAGGGAAGCAGTCTTCCTCCTGGGGAGTACTGCATTCCATTTCCATTCCAGGGAAAACATCCCTCTTTGTTATGGAGACAACCTAACACTTTCAGTGTCTCATTTAACATCTCCCAGAGCTGCTCATTGGGCTACTTCAGTGAGTTCCATGAAGGGGAACCTTACAGGTGTATTTGTTGTGTCCCAGGATCGGATCTCAGTTGCACTAACTTCAAAATGAGTATATGCAGTGCAGTTTGGATAGAATCAGAAGAGATCCTTGCCTCATTTGCTATTTCAGTAATTTTATTTTCCTGAAAAAATAGTTTTAACCTGTTAGTCAAATTGTTTTTCAATTGGGTTTCATTTGGTTTATTCACTCCTTGCTAAATGATTGTTAATTAAATACTATGAATTGTGATTTCTGCAGCCATCTTATGCTACATTTGGTGGGGGAAAGGCTCAATAAGCATTTATAGTTTACAGAACTTGCTAAGGGTTTGAGGAATTAAAATTAATTTTTTAACCTGGTTTTTAATCATCATGTAAAGTTTTCTTGTTTTGAGATCTACCCGTCATTGACGACTTCAAGATTTGCATGTGTGTGTTTGAGACACATGTGCTCATGTGGTTCTTTCCTGAACTCCTTCCTGAGATTCTAGTTTGGCGGTTTCAGTGAGGCCGAAGTTTCCGTGTTGACTCATGATCCCTTGTGTGCAGTCCTTCAGCCACTTCAGGGCAGAACGTCTTTTAGATGACAAAGTATCCACACAATTTGTTCTGGGCTCAGTTTTCCAGTCTTGGTTTCCTATGAGTGACCCCACCCAATCTTGTCATTTAAAATATCAGTTTTAAATAATGCTTTTCAACCAAGTTTTGGAGCACTTATTTGGAAGTACTGCTTTTTGAAATATTCAGCTGTCTACAGAGCATTTTCACTTGTACATCATATTGCTTCCTGAATTCCAAATTCCTGTTTCTGCCTTAATATTAATTCTATGCCTCTGAACCTGAGATATTCTTACTCAGCCATGGGAAATATCTTCAGCATAATCACATTAAAAACTGCCTGGTTTTCAATTTAGATTACTGTAAAGAAAATAGGTGGAAAAAGGAAAAAAACCGACCATGACAGTCACTATTACAGATCTCAGTACTGAACTTGCTAAACATGTATTTTGGGGGATCTACTTAACGTCTATGAATTCACATTTCTCTTCTATGAAGTGCTACTTTGGAACTTGCTTCAAGAAATGGTAACATAAGTTAAAAGAGACCAGCAAATTAAGTAATATACACTAAATCTATTATATAAAATGTATTCAATAAGTATTTGATGAAGTAAAACAACTCCAATAAAGTACATTCCTTCAATATCTTTTCAGTAACATCAATTACCAAAATGAATGAAATGACTTTAGCAATAAGTTTTGAGATTTGGTGCTTGAATGCTACGCATATGAATTCTCAGACCACATATTATACATAAACCTGGGAATCCTTGGAAGGTTGTGGACTCTGAAGTCCAGATACCACCGTATCCCCTCTAGTTCATCCCTGCAAACATGTTAAGCTGTAATGCAGGAGCTGGAAAAGCTGGATTCCTAGCAGAGGCAGTGGCAGCTTCCAGCACTGAGTGGGAGCAGAGTTATTCCTTGGTGAGCCGATTCCCCTTTTACTGACGACTTTCACCTTTAACAATACTCAGTTGTGTTTCCTCTTTTCTGCCCACCTCTCAACTATCCATATACACTATTCCCACCACACTTCTGTGCCTGAGGCACCTACCACCTGCATACCCTTGTTTCTGTCTAGCTATTGAGTATGAAGAGAGTTGCTATTCTATTAGGCTAAATAGACAAGCCCAAAGTTAAATTTGTTATAAACATACAAGGTGTTTCTCATTAGCAGAATAAGGGAAACTTTAGGGAATAATACTTTTAAAGATGCTGATATTTTATGTCATTGTGGGTTGAAAGTTATCCCTAGATTGAAGAATTTTGGGGGGACATCGTATGGAGAAATTGCTTTCCAAAGGGAATGGACAGATGATGTTAATTTAGAATCCTCTGTCTGGTAAGTGTTGAATTATTTTTGCTTTTTGAGCTCAGAGTCATTATTACAAAATAATCTATAACATTTTTACACGTTTTTAATTGTATCATTCCTACACCTTGTGAGAAAGGTATAGGAAAAACAACAGCCCAGTGTTTTTAAAGTTTACTGTCAATGAAAGAAATAAATTGAGTGAAATATCATCATTAAGAGAAAAGCTATCTTTCTGAAATCAACAAGAACCAGGTATGGGAAAACCAACACCCTTGTGTAGACAGAGAAGAGTGCAGTCCATGTACTAGGCTCTGTCACACTTCTGGAAGTTGCAGCATGTAGAAAATTTCCCACATGCTTTCCATGTAATGAACCTGAAAATATATGTCCTTACCAAGAGTCATGGGAACCAGAAATTTACACAAGATTATGTCTGACTAATAACTAAAGAAATCACTAGAGGATAATCATTTTGCCAAGTTTTCTGGAGGAGGCCAGCTTTTCAATGTCCAAGGGACAAGTTTGTCTAGAATATTGTGTAACACAACGTAGAACTGTAGAACTGTTACTGCTCATATTTCTTAAATAGTAGCACAAGGAACATAATTTGTAATTGATCAACATTTGCAGTTTACATTGAAAAGATGCTTAGATTGAAAGAGTTAAAGATTGAAAAGATTTAGATTGAAGCTGATATTAGTCCCTATTAACCTTCTTAAATGTGTCATCTTGTCTACCTTACTCTTCCATCATGCTATGTTCTGTGTCCAGTAAGATTTAGAAAGAGGAATAAATATTAATTTTCTGACAGTTAAGGCCACTAGATATACAAGGCATAGGATGGCATTGAATTTGATGATTACCTATGGTCCTCAGAAGGGCAAGTATTTAACAGACAGCCAGAATCAGGAGGCTGAGCTATACATCAAGGTGCTAAAGAGACTAGTTTTACTTTTTAATCTGGGCTTGAAATACTTTAGCAAGATTGTTTGCTTTTGTACAGAGAAGGCTAAACTCTGCATAGAAATGAGGGGAGTGTAGGGATTCTTTGAAAGGATAGACACATTGAATGTATCTACATTAGAGACTGCATCCTTCAGGAAAGTCCTGAAGGAGCGCTGCTGCTCACTCTGGCCTCTGGAACATGACTTAGAAGCAGAGAAAGGTCCTCTGATGTTCTGTGTCCTCCCCAATCGTTTTCTGAGTTTCTGTTTTAGTTAATACATGTTTGTGGTCCATGCTAGTTCCTGCCATCTTGGGGGAACTGACACACATATGCATCACACCTTCATCATTTCTGCACCACATTCCCTTCCCATCACCCTCTATCCCAGAACCCACTTCCCATATCCACACAGTCTGTCTCCCTGTTCCTTTAATCTATATTTTATTTGCTCTTTAAATTATTTATAAGTTGGAATTTTCTTATAGGAGAAACCATGCAGTATTTAAGGTTGGCTGTCTGACTAATTTCACTGAACATTGTGGTCTCATTCCACACCCATTTTCCTACACATGGCTGAACTACATCCTCCTTCACAGCTGAAGTGCACTGCATTGTTCATACACAGCACATTTTCTTTATCTGTACGCCTGCTGATGGACCTATAGGTCACATCCTTATTTAGCTACTACGAGTTGTGCTACTATGTAGTAGATTGATAACTGGTGGTCAACTTATAATGCCCAACTGAACTGAGTGAGTGTGGTAGGCCCACCTGAGGACTGTTGCCAGCAGCATAAGAGGCAGACCTGGAGAAGAAGAAGCAGGCTGTTGGGAGCTGAGAGAGGCTGTTGGGAGCTGGTAGAAACTGTGGGGAGCTCGTCATGCTGGTGTTCCTGGTGAACTTGGCTGTTTACATCCTCTGAGGAGCTTGGGACCTTGTTGGCACTGGGAATGGCTTCCGTTCACTTTAGGGGAGCTCTGATCCTCACTTTGAGCATCACTTCCTGGCTCTGGTGAGGAAGGTGGTGTGCTGCTGGTCTCCAGGAAAGGCTTGCTGCTTTGGCTTCCCTGATGGGAACTCAGCCATCTTCATCATCTGAAGACCTTTCTGTTGCTGAGGATGGCCGTGGTGCCTTTTGGGGGAGCTCTGGTTCTTCTGAGCATCACTCCCTGACTCCAGTGTAGATCCCTCAGCCTGCTAGCACAGGTCCTTCATCCCGCTGGCACAGACTTTGTAGATTCCAGCACTGACCTTTGGGCCTTCCCAACAGATGCGTGAAACAGGTCTGCATGAGACATTGTCATGGGCTCTAGGCTTCCAGGCGGACTAGTGGGAGGCATTATTATGAGCTCTAGGTTTTCAGCTGGACTCATGTAGGACATTGTCACGGAATCCAGGCCCTCAGCTGGATTCCTTGGTCTTAGTGTGTGGACAGATTTCCTGCACTCGTTCATATATCATTCTTTGGGTGACTATTATAAATAATCATATAAAGTATATGTCCTGTATTATATTGTTCCTCTTGCAAAAATAACCCCCAAACCAACACATACTATAGACACAAGTATGTGAGGGTCATTGCAGTAGGATGTTTTCAAATCTTTTGGGAAGATAACCAGAAGAGGTAGAGCTGGGTGGAATGGAATTTCCCTTTTCAGATTTTGGAGGACTCTGCATACTGATTTCCATAATGATTTCACTCATTTACATTCCATCTAACAGTAAAGAGGAGTCTTTTTGTCCCTACAATCTTGCCTGCACTTGCCTTTTTGGGATTTGGTGACAGTCATTCTTGCTGGAGTCAGATGAATTTCTGCCTTGTTTTGATCTGCATTTTGCTGATGTGAAAGATGCACAGTTTTTCATGTACTTATTGGCTATTTGTGCATTTGAGAAGTACCGATCAATTTCAATTGCCCATTTTGTTTGGGTATTTTATTTGGGAGGAGTCTAATTTTTGTTTTAGTTCTTTTTATATTCTAGATATTAGTCCCTGGAGGAGTAGCTGGCATTTTTTACACTTGTATAAGTTGTCTCTGTACTCTGTTGGTATTTTCGGTTGATGTGCAGAAGCTTTTTAATTCAATATCACCTTGTTACAGTTTAGATCTATTTTTTATTAGTAGATGTTTGTGACATCTAATGAGTACATTCGTTTTGGACATATATATATATCCAATTAGTGCATATACATGTTTTATCTTAATCCTCCTTTTCCCCTTCTTCTTGTATCCTTTCATTCTTAAAAGACAAATGATAGGGACTGGGAAGGTACAATTTCTAAGTAAAGATGTATACATATATATTATATAAACATAGTTTTGAGTGTTGATGGTGTATGTAGTTATATCATGTAACAAAGCAATCAAATATATCTTAAATGTTCAGTGATATAGGTATACATGTTCACAAACTATGGCCTGAGTGTTTATGAATATGAAATGTAGCTAATACTGAAATAGATCCATACTTTTTAACTTCAAATTCCTACAATTGGCAACATTAATTAGAATCTCTAGAGTTAAGAAGGGCTTGTATTTGAAAAGTGCTACAGGGAAGAATCATATTCACAAGCATATTTGAGGCTAATAATAACACAAAGAAGTTGTCAATACACTGAGAAATAAGTGCTGGCTAACATTGAAAGATAGAGACAAAATATCTCTGCTAAAAATATTTAATTTGCCTGGAATTTTCCAACACTTCTCAGAGGACACCATAAATTAATTTCTTTATTCTTTGCAGATAACCCTTTCTGAGTCCTCCCTCTGCTCCTTCATGAAACCATGCATCTGAACAGTAATGTGACTGAGTTCATTCTGCTTGGGCTGACAGAAGATCCTGTCCGGAAGAAAATAGTTTTCATCATTTTTTTGCTTGTCTATCTGGGGACATTGTGGGGTAACTTGCTGATTATTACTACCATCAGGACCAGTCGGGCTCTTCAGAGCCCAATGTACTTCTTCCTTTTCTATTTATCCTTGTCTGATACCTGCCTATCTACTTCCATAGCTCCTAGAATTATTGTAGATTGCCTTTCGAAGAAGAGCATAATTTCTTTCAGCGAGTGCATAATCCAAGTCTTTACAGCCCATTTCTTTGGCTGCCTGGGGATCTTCATCCTGATCCTCATGGCTGTGGACCGCTACGTGGCCATCTGTAAGCCCCTGCACTACACGACCGTCATGAACCGCAGGGTGTGTGGAGTGTTGGTGGCCGTGGCCTGGGTGGGATCTTGTGTGCATTCTTTAGTTCAGATTTTTTTGGCCCTGAGCCTGCCTTTCTGTGGTCCCAATGTGATTGATCACTATTTCTGTGACTTGGAGCCACTGTTGGAACTTGCCTGTGCAGACACTTATGTGGTCAACCTGCTCCTGGTGTCCAACAGTGGGGCCATTTGTTTAGTGAGCTTTGTCCTGCTGATGGTCTCCTATGTCGTGATCCTGCACTCGCTCAGAAACCACAGTGCTGAAGGGAGGAGAAAAGCCCTCTCCACCTGCGTCTCCCACATCATTGTGGTCTTCCTGTTGTTTGTACCTTGTATATTTATTTACACGCGCCCTGCTACCACCTTCCCTGTAGACAAGATGGTAGCTGTATTTTACACTGTTGGGACACCTTTGCTCAACCCTCTGATTTACACACTGAGGAATGCAGAAGTGAAAAATGCCATGAGCAGGTTGTGGAGCAAGAAGTCGATCTCAAGTGTCCTGCAATGAGAGGAGGTTTCCAAGCCCTCTTCATCATCTGAATTTACCTCGGAGAAGGCAATAGAGAATATCATCCTTTCATTGTTGGTCAGATGTCATAGTCCTGAGGGCTAGAAACTTCTGTCCCATTGTCCTTTATCATGGTTTTCTTTTTGACTCTGTACAAAGCACTAGATTTAAGTAGTTATGGAAGCTTCTGGTTGTATATATACTTTGGGCTATTTCTCTTTTGACTCTGGGTTATACTCTGAAAACTCACTTTGTGTTCACCTAGATTCTTCCAGAGCAGTAATGGAATATGGAGAGAAAGCTTCACTCTTCTGAAAGTTGCCTTGATCTTATTTACTGTGGCTGTAGTCATATAATTCTTCTGGTAAAACTTACTTTTTATTCCTAATTTGACCCCCTTTAAGTTTGGGGGTATTATTAGTTTCTCTTGAATCACATTTAATTTTTCTTTTTTTAACAGAGGGCTAATGACATGAACAATAGCACACATATCTCATATTAAGGTAGAGATTATTATGTGCCCTAGTGATAAGGAGTATAGTCACTAGGCCACGGGGAATCTGAAAATACTAACAGACTAAACAAAGAATGCGATAATTAGAGAAATGATTTTTGAGTACTGTGATCCCCTACTTTCCATAACAGTTCAGCTCTGACTTATAAAATTAAAGTTCTTTTCTTGCCCAAATTCACTTTCTTATATCTTTCAGAGCTCTGTGTTCATCTGTTAGTGCTTAATTTCAAGTCCAGTATTACCTACATAATCCTAGAAGTTTCACTTGTGATCCCAAGAAACTAGATATTGTGTTTCTCTGTAATATTTTTTTGTGAAGTTCTCTCCAGATACTCTGGTTAATAAAGATCTTCTTTCTACTTATTACTAAAAATGAATAGTATTTAGTTGTTTCATTTCTTGCATATTGTAAAAATAACAGGTGTTTTGGAGATAATAAATCAGGCCATAGAGTTCAGCCTGCCTCAGTTACAGTAGTTATTAAAAACAGAGAAATTTTTCTTTAAAAAATCTGACTGAAAATGAAGAGCCCTTGGAGAATCAAGGAAAAACTAGAGGCATTAGTCACTCAAGATTCTGGAAAGCTAGATTTGCATCATCTGTAGTAACCTCTGAGCTTGGATGTGATTCATCATTTTCTTATTAATATTTACTTTCTCTTTAGTGTTTATCTCCACTTGTTCAAAACATGTCCTTTGCCATGGCTTCAGGGCGTCAGATTCTCTCTCATGTCCCACAAGCTACTCCTTCCTCCAGACGGTCAGGTTCTGTTTACAGAATTCCAGAGAAGAAACCTGAATAGATCTGTTCTTGAATTGAGCAGAGTAAGTGTAAGAGACCTCCAATCTATCCCCCCCAATTTCCTTTCCTCCCTGTCACTACTCCCCTCTCTCTCTAAGTCCCATTTCTCCATTTTTATTCTTGTTGATATTATTAAATTTAGCTCATGTTTGTATCCTACAGTGTTTACATTCACTGAGTACCTAGGTTAGGTGCCATCCCAGGTACAATCTACTGTGATTCGACAGGAAGCAGGAAAAGGCCAGTGGGACCCCAAATTTGGGAATCTCTGACATTTATCCATCATGGAGTTTTTTTTTAATTTTAAAGAATAAAAGAAGGAAAACATATTAACAGATAGACATCCATTTACAAAGTAGCATAAGAACAATACAAACAAAACAGAGTTACAGACAAAGTTGTAGGAAATTAACCATGGTTGTTGTATTACTTATTGATATCTTCAAAGTGGTTTCTCAGGAAAACAAAGACATACAAGATTGATCAAACAAGTAATCATTAACTGTTTCTTTCTGCAGATCAATAGAAGACAGTAAGTAGTACAATTATGTTAGCTATCCCGTATATACACACTTACATAATTTCCCCTTTTTTCCCCTTCTCTTTTCCTACACCCCAGTTGCCCCATCATAGACTTTTAATAGGTAAGCATCTTGAAGAAAATGATGCAGTTTACTAACTAATCAAAAAAATGTGATACCTATATATAATAGAATAGTACTCAGCTATAAATAAGGGTAAATTTGAGACATTTGGAGGAAAATGCCTACCCTAAAAAAATATAATGTTGAGTGAAATAAACCAAGACACACAAGCTTAAATACCGAATGGTATTTCTCATTTGAGTGAGGCAAAGTACAAGGATTTAGCTATTACATACTGTGCTGACTATGCTGCTGTTAACATTGGTATGCATATATCATTGTAGTATGATATCTTAAGTTCTTTAGGGGACCCAGTCTTATTTATGCTCAGGCTTCAGGTTTTAGGACCAGATCAAATGCAAGACAACAGCACCAGAGGAACTTTGGAGGGCATTTAGCTGTATTATACGAGCGGGCTGGGGAACCCTGAGGTTCAGATCAGCAGCCCCATTTTGAGGTTACAAATCACTTATACAGGTTTTCAGAAGGAAGTACAAGCATTTTCTAGTGGATTACACATGTCTTTGTCATTAATTGCTGGGCAGAATTTATGCTTACAGAAACTAATAATGTTACTACCATATAATATAGGGGAAGAATCAGTTATTGTCTGAGACTTGGCAGAGCTGTCCTTGAGGCGATAACTCTGGGACTTGAAAGTAAGCAAAACATCACTGTCTGGCTAAGTTGCACTTATCTTGCAGCTGGCTGTGGGAGGGTCAGGGTTTGTTAAGTTTTGTAGCTCTCTAGTTACAAGAACTAAATGTACTGTCCAGTCTCATCTTTGAATAGTGTTAAAAATATATTAGTGTTAGAGATATAGGATTAAAATTTTCATTACATTTAAAATAGCCTCTACACTCAGAGAGAGAAAACGTTGCCTTTCCAAAGAGGTATCAGGTAATCATACTAGTGATTTAAGCTAGTTTCTTTAATGTTTTCTCTTTTTTGCGTGAATTGGAAAATGGAAAGCATCTTGAATTTTCCAGTGATAGGAAAGAGTGAGTATGATATACATTTAAATAAATCAGGGCTTGCTATGTTCATAACTTTTCCTGATACTGCTTTTGCAAATCAAGTCTTTTTCTCATGTACTTTCTATTCTGACAAGGTCTTGTCAGCATTTTAATTTACTGTTAAGTGCAGGTGACACGTATCTTGGCACTGTCTGATTGTGTCTTTTAATAAAAAGTCTTGATTTAGTTCCTGATGTTTGTATGCTCTATTTTACCAGCACATTGTGTTTGACACATTTGACTTACTTTTTTGTGTGCCCAGAGAGGCAAAAAAAAAATTTCTTTCCTTCAAACAACCTTCAGTTATTTTAAAGAAACCTGGAAAAGAATTTCTGTTGCATTTAACCTAGTGTTCTTTGCAGTTCCTGTAGTAGTTTCACATTTCTGTTGTTGCATAAGAAGTTATCACAACAGTATTAGCACAAAACATCCAAGTTTCCTTAGATATCATTTACTTCATGCTTGAGATTGTGGTCTGAATGCTCTGTCTTTTAATAATTTTCAAGTTCTCAGTACAGAGTTTCCTGGCAAACTGCTTTACCATAGGGCTACTTGTCAGGAGGCTGAGTGTACCTGGACAGTTCTTTCACCGGCCAGCCAAAGTCAATGGTTTGCTGAGATGAGGTCTTATCTGGAGGTTGGGCGAATTCCTTCTAAATTCATTCAAGTTGTTCCTTGGGACTGTAGGAAGGAGGCTCAGACTTCCTAGCTGCAGCGAGCTGGAGACCACTCTCAGCTCCTATGGCAATCACCAGTGACTCCTCCATACTAAAAGACAGAAACAGTGCCCTGAATCCTTGTACCTGGAATTGGTCTGCCTTACTTTTCTGTCACCAGTCAGGGAAAAACTATCGGTTTTCAGAAAGGGCATGTAATTAGATAATGCATAATAATATTTTTTAAAGTCGACTGATTAGTAATCTTAATTACATTCTTAAGTCCCTTTTGGCGTGTAACCTACCATGGGGTGGTATGATATTTGCAGTCCAGGGGTTAGAGCAGGAAATCCTGGTGGACAGGCATTTTAGGATTATTTGTACCCCAGGGGTAAAGGAGTTTTGAAAAGTTATAAATTTAAGAGAAGCACTGGAAGGTATAACTCCATTTCTTTTTTTTTATTTTTAAAATAAAAGGGGAAAACATTAACAGACAGACAATATTTTACAATATATCAAAAGAACAGTACATACAATATGGAGTTACAAACAAAGTGGTAGGGAATTACCAATGGTTGTTGTATTACATATTAATATCTTCAAAGTGGCTTCTCATGAAAACAGATATAGAAATGCAATACTGATCAACCAAAGACTCATTGACAGTTTCTTTCAGCATAGAAATAGAAGACAGAAGAACAACCATGTTAACTATCCTGTATATACATACATACAAAATTTCTCCTTCTTTCCCTTCTCTTTTCCCACATCCCAGTTGCCCTTTACTCTTCAGCGGTTTCCTGTCATTTCACAGTGTCTCTCATACCTCTGAGTTTAAATTAACTCTTTCAGATTTTACACTAGTGAAACAATGCGGTGCTTGCACATATTTGTTTGATTTATTCCACTTATGAGTATGGTCTCTAGTTGTGACCATTTGCCTATAAAAGCCTTGAGTTTATCTTTCTTTACAGCTGAGTAATATTCCATTATATAAAAGTACCACAATTTCCTTATCCAATCCTCGGTGTATGGACATTTGGGTTGCTTCCACATTTTAGCAATTACAAATTGTGCTGCTATGAACATAGGTGCACATCTATCACTGTGATATGATGTTTTCACATCTTCTGGGAAAATACCCAGCTAAAATAAGGATCATTTTCTAGAGGTTATGCTACCTTTGAATCCACTACCCAAAATGACATCCATGAGAAAAATATGACACTTTTCTAGGCATGAAAAAGAATCTTGGGGGAAATAAAAGTGGCATTTTATCCGGTACTGGGAACCGAACTCACGACCTTGCACTTGCCAGGCAGGCGCTTTGCCGCTGAGCTAAATCCCCAGCCCAAAAGTGGCATTTTATATCGATGTAAACAATTCCAAATAAAGAA